ATATTTTGTACACCATTTTACTAAACATTAAAATCCCTTGAAAAATATCATTCGACTCATTAAATCCTACAACAAAATAGCTAAGTTAAATCAGCCCAATACAGAGATCTCCAACATCAAGTTAACAAACCATGCATGGTTTAAAAAGGATAATTTCCTAATAATCCTGCTAAAATATTTAATCATTGCGCTCTGCTTAAGGACTGTCCTTTGCTGTTGTAGATTTTTTTTAATTTATTTAATGCCACTGGATGCCAAAAGTGTTTTGGTGGAATACAATGAATTTATTCGTGTAGCTATGAAGCAGCCCATCTTAGCACAGTCAAAATGGAGAGACAGTCTGAACTGACAGTCGGTTAGTAGGAAATTATACAGTACTTGAGTTTCATTTTGTGGCAAGTTGCATGGTTTGACTTTGTTTGATTTTGGTTCTGCTGTTACATCCCATTTGATTAAATTACTTCCCGTCATTTTTAGAGAGAAGCCCAAGAGAGAGAAGAGGCCGAGCAATTTCGCCTGGAACAGATGCGAAAGGAGCAGGAGGAGGAGAAGGAGGTGGGGAGAACACATCATACTCACATCATGCAAATTAACTCCAATTATTATTCCACTGTTGTCAGTGCAAGAGCGATATGTTTTGCCAGTGACTGTGCCACTGTGCCTTCATTTTCTTTCCTATCCTGCTCTCACTTTGGAATAATGAGTCAATTAGATTGTGGTTTTGGGGAAGCCTGCCAGTCATTGATGCATCTGCAGTGTGGGTGAGCAGGCATACGGCCATTTTACAAGAATAAAATATCTTAATTACAGTGAAGCCTTTCCCTGTTAATGTCACCTTACATACACACAGTTATTGTTCTGTTTAACTGCTTGACATTGGTATAGCACACAGCCTCATAATGAACCCTAACCGAACAAAAGACGGAGGCAATTCATGTACACACGCTTGTGCACAAACACACACAACCTAAGCAAACACACATATTCGCTTGAAAACAATTATTGTATGTGAAGAGGGGACAAACACACACAGGCAGACACACTGTCACGCATGCAGGAAAAACAATAATTGTCTGTGAGGATGGCACCAATGTTGTAATACAGTCTTTTGTGATATAGTATAGTCCTTGCTGATTGTTGTTTACTCTACAGCAGAGAGCCTTGGGGCACTGAGAGATATTGGGTGACCCGGTTCACTCAGGTGATTGTCACCTAAGTTAAATAGACAACAACAAAAGAGCCTTGATCCGGACCTTAATTATATCACTGTAGTCCACTGTCCAAACTGTGTGCACACTTGTGTGTTTTAAAAAAAATAATAGCCACTATGGCCTTGCCTACTACTTGTATGAATTTTCTCTTCCCAGATACCAGTTTTGTACGGTATCTCCTTTGCTATCATAGTAATCTTGCCCTTGTGTTACAATCTACATATTCAGCAGCAGTTGCTGCTGAATCCTGACGATGGAAGCTTGAGTTTCTTAAACTGTTGTTAATCGGGATCTGAAATGGGACATGGGTGTAACACCCAGGTACTATACACTTGGTTTGAGTTTGAGTCTACGGATATACTGATAGCCAGTGTATCCGACTGACTGAAAATGTTTCAGCACTGCTTTCTTTTTTTACCTGAAGAGTCACTTAAAGTATAGACAATATAGTCGTATAGCAATCAATCTTTGTTGCATGAATGATTATATACACTAGATGATGGAGGAGGAAAATTAGCAATGTATTTGAAAAATCTTTCACCTGCATATTTCTGTTAATGCGTTAAATTACAAATGGTCTTGATCTAAACGGTTCACTGAAGCTGCTGCTTATTATTCCTTCGTTACTATATTCTCCCGCGCAATAGCAAGAGTGGCTGACTTGAATCCCAAAGGAGGTATTGTAGACAAACTGCGGAGATGACTCCTTTTGTTTTGTTCATTTATGACAGTAACAAATGTTTTAATATTTATCCACTGCCATGTTGTTGGGCACCAACTTTAATACTGAGCTCGAGAGCCCACAGTGTAGTTTTTCCTTTTGCTCTCATAATGACCTTTTTTTTATTTTTTTGCAGTTTTCAGTTGAGTCTTATGGGGTAGTAACCTAGTACTGTGTGTGACAGACTGCAGACACAACAAAAACATCAGTTGCCACCAGAGAGAGGACAATGCTAGGGGGAACGCTTTCTCTGTGATTTTGTGCCTTTGTACAAAGAACAGTGAGATGAGGAAGACTAGAAGATGAGATGGGAGCTGCTGAATTGAGAGGGGTGTGTAGTGTGCATGTGTTATGTACCTGTGTGCGTTGACATTACTGTTTACCTCCTTCAGGGGGTCTTAGCATACAGTTGTGTTGTCTGTCAGGTGCAGCCCCCACCCGTCATCTGTTTGCTTTCTGTGGTTGGCCGAGTGGAGCTGGAGAGGCAGTTAAATGGACGGGCGGACGCTTCTGACTCTTTGTGTGGAGCAGCCCGAGGCTCAACCAGACGCGTGTCTTGTGGTTCCTTTAGCGATGCTACCTCACACTTGTGTGGGAGTTTATGCTTGTGTCTGTGGTTGACTGTGTTTCTGCATTTGTATGTCCACCACCCCACATACACTCCTGTCTGTTGTGTGTGTGTGTGTGTGTTAGTTCATCCCGGGGGGCCCCTTTAGCTCCGTCAGCATCAGCTCTTATACCTGAGGGAGCTGATGGCGGAGCGGCACGCGCCCTACCCTGCCCACCCAACACCAGAAGCTGCTAATGAGCTACTGTTGTACACTCTTATGAAATATAATTGCATTATGGTGTGTAAATAAAGCCGGGGCGTGTTGTCACAGCATATGCTCCCCGACTGGCCAAACAGGAACAACAAGCTGGGGGGGGGGAGGTGAGGGGCAGGAGCAGAATGAAGAGGAAGGCTCGAGGGAGCGGCTGAAGTGCGGTTTTTGGAACACAGGAGGGCTGATTAGCTTTGCTGTGCAAGATGACAGTTGATTGTTATCTTTGTGCTAGATAAGCCACCCTCACTCTATAGATAATATTACCAACTTTACTGTCTGAAAAATAACAGATCAGCTTTTACAGTGCAAGGCTGTAAACTACCTGTGGGTAGACACTGAGATATTCACCAGGCTCCTTCTCACATTTTGTTAATCAGGTGGGTGAACAAAAAAAGAACAGTAAGAAAGAGGAATACTGTACACAGGACTGTTTATAATGTACTGCAGTGTTACTTGGCAACGTTCTGTGCTACTCCAGGCTTTAGGGAACAGGGTGAGACACATGCCAACTAATTTAATAACATTCTCAGGACAAGAAGGCCCTTTAATTGTCAGGCCACAGCGCTGCAGTCATACTCTGGGACCAGCTTCTCAGCTTGACTGTCATAATTGTTTGCATGCTGTGTCATCATCTTTGTAACTGAACTGCCCACAAATTTTGTTATTTTAGAAAATCACTGAAAATCTTTCTTCATATTCAGTGTTCATATTAGCTGTCTTACAGTAGTACTTATGCTGACACTGTTGTGAACAAGCTGTAAAAATAGAAAATGTATAGAAACTTTGTAATGCTAATAGACTTTAAATAAAGAACTGCAGCACCAATGACAGCTGCATCTTACCAGCACCTGTATGGAAACACATCTGCCTTCAGTCAACACTGTGATGCACCCTATCTGGAAACAGGTTGTGCTGTGCATTAGTTCTTCTTCTACATTTTTGTTGTTTAATATTTGTGTAATAGTATGCAATGAATATAGTTTAGATCATTTTGTGAAGTAAAAAAAAAGAGTTATATACTGTTTGAGTTGAAGCATCCTCAGGTCAGAGGTATTTGTAACTTCTTTAACCCTCACTGTATTTTGTGTCATTTCTTCTACAAGGAAATTCACATATAAGCAGTTAGCGCACTAGCATAATAGAACTTTGGGCTTTTCTCTAGTGATTATGAGGTGTTTCCAAAATTGTGAATGTGCTGTACTGACTTTTTCCACCCCCATCCCTTCTTTCAGGCAATTCGCTTGTCTCTAGAGCAGGCTCTACCGCCAGAGCCCGACGAGGAGTCTGGAGAGCAAATCAGCAAACTGCGAATTCGCACACCGAGTGGCGAGTTTCTGGAAAGGCGTTTCCTGGGAAGCTGTAAACTCCAGGTTCTCTTTGACTTTGTGGCCTCCAAGGGATACCCCTTTGAAGAGTTCAAGATCCTCACCACCTTCCCTCGTAGAAATGTGAGTGGTATATATTTTTACAGACACACATGCCTCAAACTGTCCTCTTCTCCTCACACCCTCATATGTGCAGGGGAAATATTTTAAGGATCAACACATCTAATTCACGAGTGGAGAGGTGAGGACTTTAGCAGGAGCTGCATTATCCAGTTGAGCTGTTGTCTCGATTTTGTGCCGTCCTTCATAACAGTTCTATGCCCACACAAACAAGCGCTGAATTCATCCTTACTGCAGAAGAGTAGCAGCAGGTTATATGAAATGTTCTCAGCCACAGCTCCACAGCTATAATTGGCTTTTCCGTTCAGGCCAGGGCTGCAACTCTGGGGGCAGCTGTGACTGCAGAAGAGCAGGGACATTAGTTGAGACGATCTGCGGTGGCTGATTGATGTAGTTTTTCTTGCTTCTGTCATTGTTTTTGGTGTTTGTGCACTGCAGCAGCAGCACTGGCGCGTCACTGCCTTTGTTTACTCATACCTGTGAGAGGGCATGCTAAGCCGACTGTTTATCCATGCACCTGCGCACACATAGTATTCAGTGAATATTAATTAGTATCGGTCCGCTGTGAATACAGTACACTATGACTGTGTTAGGATACAGTTGTCAGCACTAACAGTAGTATTCTCTATGGCTCTTCTGCTGACGCCCGACAGCATTCAGTCAGCTACAGCCACGCTCTGCAGCAGTGAGCTAATAAGCACTGTTTTAACTACTAGTTTAATTAGCCATGCTGCTGGAAACAAAAATGAGATTTCCATTAATCAAGAGAGGAGTGCATGTGGAGGGGCGGCGGGTGGTGGTTGTATAGAGGTGTGTGTGTGTGTGTGTGTGTGTGTGTGTGTGTGTGTAGGCTTGCCCAGGCAGTGTGCCATCGTAGTCTGTAGGGACCGGTGGGGCACAAACACCTCAAACTAACACACACATTAACACGTAGCTCACACTCTTCATTTCATCACAATCACACACTGCAACACATGCACAAATATTTTCAAGCAAACACATGCCCCACTCACAACTTTGTCACTTAAAGGATTCACAGTTGTCTCTTTATAATCAAGAGTAAACATGTGTTTGAGACAGAGATAAAGATGTGTCTGCATCGCAGATGAAATTCCGGCAAAAACAGGATGGGAGGATTAGAGGGGTAGAGAAGCGAGGAGAGGATGGTGACTGCAGAACTAGTCGAAAAGAGAACAGAGAAGACAAAAGCTTAAACAAAGAAAAGATTTAATCAGAGAAACAGTCTGAAAGAGAAAAGGATAGAGAAGACAAGTGGAGAAGATATTAAAAAGAAAAAGATGGGAGATAATTCCAGAAAACAGAAAGGCGAGAGATTTGAGGAAAGAGAGGAGGGAAGCAGCTCTGTGGTAGTGCCAGTATGAGGCTGTGAACACAGGCCCCCGTCTAATCCTGCAGCTCTGTGTTGTAATTAAATGAGAGGGTGCATAGAAAGCCTCCATTCCGTCCAGACGCTCTCACTGTTGCTCTGCCAGGATCAGAGGATAGAGGATAGACCACTATTGCATTTGTAATACTGCACAACTGTTGAAACCTTCTTTCCCTTTTCTAGTTTTCTGCGGCTTTGTGCAGTGTCACTCTTTCTTTTGCTGTTTCCCTCCTCGTCAGCCACTTTATTTAATTTTCATTCATTCAGCTCGAACACAAATTAGAGGATCTACTCAATCCAACTTGAGAACATTATGTAAAGTGGTACCAGATATTTTTGGCTAAAACTACAACATTATTGGTCAGGAGAAGGGCTATTTAGAGGATGTAAATCTTGCAACAGAGGTTTATTTCCATTTGTTGATCAAGCTTTGACACGAGGAGAGAAAACATCAGAACCGGTTCAGATGTCTCTTATTCATGCTTTTCCCACCTTCCTGTGGCTTAGCCAGTAAGTGTCTATTAGTCTCCAATTTTTGGACTCAATCTCTTCCTCAACATTTGGTATCAGTGGCTTATCTCTTCAGCACTACAGCAGGCCTTACACTGGCATCATTTGTACTAGGCTTAGCCGTGCTCAGGGAACTAACCCTTTCTCCATTTCTATGACTGTCAGTGAGTTTGAGGAAGGAGGGAGACTTTTAGTGTTTCAGTTTTCAGCTTTTCATTCAAGAATTTCCTTCTTTTCCTTCCATACTTGCTGAACACAAACCGCTGCAGAAAGGCCCGAGGACTTCTCCTGTCAGCTATCGGTGAACATGTTTAGACTGCCAGTATAAAAATCGACAATTAGGTCTTCCTGCCTGGCTGCTCATAGACACCCAAACACTGTCGACCAGCATATTAGTTTTCTCACAGTGATACTGTAGTCTCTTTCGCCTTCTCTTAATCCTTCTTCCAGCTCTGTCAGTGACTTCACCCAGATGAATCTTAGACAAAACCTGAGATGCAGGAAAAATAAACAGCGGCACAGAAGAAACGTTGAGCCATCCTGAAATAGATTTTACATCTGTTATACTGGTGTTGTTTTGTTTTTTCTTCTCCTGCTATTTGATAGTTTTCACAGGAAGGACTCCACCAGTTTGTTTTAAAAGTAATTTTAGTCAGATTTTCTTCCTCAAGACTGTTCTTACAGTATTTTTGTTTTGTACATAGCACAAACCCACTGTTCCATGTGTGCCACTCTGCTTCATCTCTGAACCTAGACATGATGTGTGGCTCCATCTTAGACCACGCACATTTTGACGTGACCTTCAGCACTCTCCTTCTCCTCTGTCTTTGAGCTTTCCCCTGTGCCTCTGTTTTCCCTCCTCTTTCCTTCCTTATACCTCTCTGCTTACACAGCCCCTATGCCTTGCAATAAAATTTGTTTTGCTCAGCAGCCTTTGTATCCTTCTCCATCTGCGTTCTCAGTTCCCCAAGTTACTTTCTTTTTACCCTTTAAAAATACACTTTTAAATATATGTTTAGGCATAAGCTAATTTGTCTTTATTTTCTCTCATTTCACTTTCACTCTCATTTGCTGTTCTGTAGTGCCCCTTATTCACCCCCCCCCTGCCCCAACACACACACACACACACACACACACACACACACAGAGTCCAGTTTGTGCGGTGCATTTCTCCCTTTGAAGTACCGTATTCTGCTCTGTTCTTTTTTGTTCACGCCCCGGCGCTACGTGCTGTCAATGGTCCTGGCAGCAGATAATGATCTCCCACTGCTTTTGTAATTGGCCAAATAAACACTTGACAACACTAGTTTAAAACAGACAAGTTATTTGGTTTTAATTAACATAGTAGGCCCTGTAATGGCTTCATTAAAAATGCGTTATTTCAGCTGCGTGTTTGATTGTGTTGGAAATGGACATCTTGAGGGCCTGTGTTTATTTTCCCTTCCTTTTCTTTCACGGCTGAGCCTTGCTTAGTGTCGCCGCCTCTGTTATCAGTGTGCTTTATTCATTTATTCATTTAAATCAAACGACTTACAATTGTGGTATTTATTTTAAACTTCGCACTAAGTGCTAATTATGTTGTTTTAACCATGGTGAAATCTGCTGTTTGATAATGCCAAATACATGGGGTTCATATTAGCTGATTATTTTGTCATACAGTTTTTTTTTTATAAGGAAAGAAAGATAAAATATCAAAGATTGCCGAGATGCACCATCTGTCTTTTTATTTGGTCCAGTTTTAAAATTAGGCTTTTTAATGCCGAGTTTCCAGATATTGTATTATCTCTTTAGATTTTCCTTCAGGCAAACAGTTTATTTCAGTTTTTATTTTGTTAATTTATGTAGTTTTAATTAACAACTGGGAAACCTTTTCTTTCCCACAAATGCTATTTAATCAGATGGAAATTATTATAAATTAACCTCCTCTTTTTATTTAATCAGACAGTTCCCTGATTGATTTGATCTAAGTGCTCTGATAGAAATTATATTGACTCAAGGTTAAAAACAAACTGCAAAGCAGAGAGCTAGATTGTCTGTCTTATGTATGTATGAATGTATGCAAGGCTGTGTAGGCGCAGGAGGAGAGAATATGGCTTAGGCAGAGCAGAGGAAAAACAACAGCTTTGTTTGTTGACAGATGCCTCCATGCTTATGGTCTGTTAATTGGATAACAATGTAAACAATCACCGATGGCGCCCGTCTCCTGTGTCAGTGTGGCATCTTGTTTCCCTACTTTCTTTTTCAGAGTCAGATGCTGCTCTCCCCCGCCATCTCTCCCTGGTGCACTATGAGCACAAACTCTCATCCCAGTTTCACACGCACACACACACCCGCTTTTATGTAGTCCACAGTTACACGACTGCGCACACACACCTGCTCCACCCCAAAGCCTCATTTACTCTTTACCTGATGCTGTGGTGTCACAACAGCCTGTCAGGTTCATTAGCATGGCAGCCATTTGCGCCGCACTGCTCCCGAGGTGGGAAAAGGCGCACAGCAGCCCTGTTGGTCGTTTCCCCACCACTGGGATGGAATATGTTTACAACAAATGCACACACACATAAAAACACACACATCATTTTACCTCTCTTCACGGCATCTCAGTTCCCCCGCTGTGGCATGAGGCAGCTGAGGGCTGATGTGCCAGCCCCTCCCTGCCTGCACCAAGCTTCACAGGACCCCACTGAGAAGTCAAGAGTCTAAATGACATGTTGAAGCGATGACAAGGAGATGAAAAACATGGAGTCAGAGACGGCTTGACGTGCACATGGTGTGACACTTCCAAACACGCTTGGGAGACGAATGTGTTGTCTGCTGCTGATGTGGCCTCCTCACATAGCCCTAATTTACTTGTACTTTTCCTTTCTCACCCTTTTCTTGGAGCACGTGAACACCCTCCAGATTTACACTTTTTGTGGTTAACACATGTTTACAGGTTTTTTATTTTTGAGGGTTTACCCATATCATTTTTGGCATCCAACATAAGCTTTTCAGGATGTAAAATAGACACATTGTTTTATTATAATACAGTTTTAAAAATTTAAATGTACAAATAAGGGTAGGATATTTTTTAATTCTGCCATAGAGGTTAAAAAATCAAAAATCT